ACCCCTGGCCTCTCTTCAGGGCGTCCTGCCTCTCCCTTCTCCACGGTGAGGTTTTCCCCACCGATCGTCCAGGTCCCCAAGTTTTCCAGATCTGGCTTTCAAGCGCTCTCAGGGAAACTTGGAGGGCGGGGTTCACGACCCGCGGGCCCCCCCCGAGGGCGGGGCCTGCCCATTGGGGGCGGGATCGTAGGGAGGCCTTCCCCGGCGCGTTGTCCCGCCCCGCCCGCTTTCCAAGTCTATAAAGGGAGGGGACCCGAGGCCGCCGGGCTGGCATCCTCGAGTTGCTGCCCATAGCGCTTAGCGGAGCCACAGCAGCCGCCGAGGGGCGCCTAGCGCCGGAACCATGACTCTCCGCCGACTCAGGAAGCTGCAGCAGAAAGAGGAGGTGACGGCTGCCCCAGACCCCGCCACCCGGACTCCAGACTCTGAAGTCGCTCCCGCCACGCCGGCTTTGGCTGCGACCCCGGCCTCGGGTCCCCCAGCTGCAGCCGCCGCCCCTGGTGCCCCCGGGGATGAGCTGTACGCGGCGCTGGAGGACTACCACCCCGCCGAGCTGTATCGCGCGCTCGCCGTCTCTGGGGGCACCCTGCCTCGCCGAAAGGTGCGTACTCCCGCCCCACTGGCCCCCAGATCTCAGTGTACGCTAGCATCCCTTCCTCAGAACCTGGGAAACCCCATCAAAACCCCCATCCTGCTGACCCCACTACAGGCCCTCCCCGGGGCCCACTAAGTCACCCCATCTACACGTTCAGAACCTGTTCATTTCCCTCCGCCCTTCTCCCAGAAAGCTCCAACCTTCCCCACCCACGGTCCCTGCTGCTCTGAAGACTGTGGCCCCCGCCTCCAAACCGCCCCCCCCCCCAGCCCCGGTGGCGCTCGACTCCAGTCCCCACAAGCCGCCGCCCCGTCTCGCTCCCTCTCCTTCCTTCCCCACCGGCCGCAGTCTCCTGTTCGCCCCATCTGGCTCTCTGTCCCCCCACCCCGCCCGATGACCCCACGTCCAGGTGTCTTAGGATCCGCTAGCCCCAGACATGTTGAGGGTCCGAGCGTCCTCGGTGTGAGAGGGCGGGCCGCTGTGAGTTCTCACACCGTGGAAGTGCGTGGGGTTCCGCTGACTTCGGAAAGCACGCCCTTCCTAGGGGGTGCCCCGACTCCTGGGCTCCGGGCCTGCTGCCTTACAGCGCGTCAGGGTGTCGGGGACACAGTTCCCTGGACTCTGGCTGGGACCGGACACGGTGGGAGGGATCGCAGGGCACCCGCGGGGCAGGAAGGATGCGGGCTGCACCCGCCCGTGAGGCTCTTCCTCTGGCCCGAGGAGATCCAAGGGCTCAGAAGCCCAGGGGCTAGGATACAAGACCCAGGTTAAGAAGAGGGGGCCGGTGGCCTTTTCCTGCTCAGCCCCCTCCTCCTCCCTTGTCCCCCAGCATGGCATACCCCCCCTACACACAATGAACAGCTTGTTGAGAATTTGCATTTTATGAAAATCTGGTTGAGAGACAAAGGGGTCTCTCTCTGCAGCCTCCTCCCTGGCCCATTTGGGAGCTGCCCCCACCCTGAGGCTAATCTTTGGTTCTGGGAGAAAGAGGCCCTCCTCTCTTCCTTGTCTTGGCAAGGGCACAGACCAGGAAGGCCCAGAGCTCTTTGGGGGCATATCGGAAAAAGACTGGCCTGGGGCACAGCTTCCTGCATGGAATAATAGTTTCCTTTCTCTAGGGCCCTAAACAGGTAGGAACCTTCAACTCTGTCACCCCTGACACACACACACACACACACACACACACACACACACACACCCCAAAATCGCCCAGTTGCTCTCCTTCAGTACAGTGAAACTTAAGAGACAAATTTGAGAGCTGAGACTTTTTAGAGGGGGCTTCCCAGAAAGCAACAAAAATATATGACAATGTTAAGACACCCAGGTGGAGCAGGACCTGCCGCTGGGATTGAAAAAGTCTGTATTATAGTGTTCCTCTGCCCCCTGTCCTGTTCCACATTTGATCCGGGAATTTGGCTGTCCAGGCCTGGTGCCCTGAACCCAACTTTCTCAAGCCATTGCCTGAAATTAGGTGGAGAGTGACCCCACTGGCGGGGGGGTCCCCAGAGTGAGTGAGTGCCTTGAGAGATAAGCCCAGGGTCCCCTCTCCCCTTGCTCTTTGAATCCTGTCTGGGAAGAGCCCTTACCACAGATTAAAGTCTGGGAGACCTGAACCCAACAGACCTGTGCCCTAGGATTGAAAACCATTCTAGAGTAATTAGAGCCTCCCTGCAAGGGCTGGGGGTAAAACCTAGGGAGAAAGCTATGGAATGTCACAAATAGTGGCACTTAGAACCAAAGTAGGTGTGGAGCTGGGACAGACAGGCAACAGTAACTGAAGTGGAGGCCAGATGAGGGACCTTCTAGAGTAGGGCTGAACTCAGCATCTGTTCAAATACAGTCTCACCTGCTGCTTCTTCCCTCTTCCTGCTCAGGGATCAGGATTCCGGTGGAAGAATCTCAGCCAGAGTCCTGAACAGCAGCGGTGAGTCACCATCTCCCTAGCTCCTGCCCTGGTCCACTTGGGTGAGGTACTGGGGGAGAGGGGGAGAAGAGATCATGACAGTCAGGAGGAATCATTCTCCACCCTTTAAACATGGTTCCCCTGCTGGGAGTGAGGGGCAGGTGGGGGTGTGGGCTGTGTGAAGGGGGTGGAAAAGAAAGGAGGTGGGGACTTTTGAGTCATCAGGTGCTCCTCAACCCACCCCCAGTCCCTGACAGTTACCCTCTCCTTAGGGAGCTCTGGATCAATGGGCGGTAGGAGAAGAAAGAGGCTTGGGGAAATGGCCTAACCCAGGTCTTCTGGGATTCCCTGAGCTCACCCTATGCCAGCAAATCCTTTGAGTCCAAGCCCTGGCTAAGCTCGGTTCAGATGCCTGGTCTGGCTGTCTCAGTCCTGTGGGGGTCCTCTTAGGAAGGGTCTGAGGTGTGGACAGAAGTAAGTGCTGACCCCAGGTCCCAGGACCCCCCAGTTTCCCTTTACTGCCTGTATTCCAGTGGGATCTAGGCCCGGCATCTTCTGAAATGGAAGAGCAGACTGCAGCCTGCTGGCCAGATTGGTTTATTTGGCCCTTGAGCTAAAAGTGGTTTTTACCTTCCTTTTACACTTTTAAGGGAGGTAAAAATAAAAACAAAGAACAATATGTGGCTGCAAATCTTACATTTACTATTTAGCCCTTTATAGATAAAATTTGCCGACCTCTCCAGAAAACCAGAGAACTAAGGTAGACCCAGCCAGAACTTCCAGTCACCCTGGCCTCCTCCCCTCTAATACCTACAGAGAGGAAAGTCCTGCCCTTCAACCGAGGGAAGGGGTTCAGGCTGGACCTTGGAATTGCTCCTCAGCATTTGAAGGGGATATCTGGAGTCCTAGTATGGCAATGTAGGATAAACATTGGACTTATCTGCAAGGTCGGCAGTTCAAACCCACCAGCTGCTCCTTGGAAACAAGGCCACTCTGAGTCAGAACTAACTCAGTGGCACTTAACAATAACAATCTGGCTCAGTCTGGGAGTTGAGGACCTGGGTCATTTCTGAGACTGGGAGACTTGAGGGGGCCTCTGGCAGCTGCTTTAACTCTGCCTCTGGCTGGGCGGGAAGGAACGGGGTGGGGGTGGGCAGAGGAAACTCTGGGTTCCCCCAGCAGGCCAGGGTCTGGAGCAGCTCCAGACCATTGTGTCCAGCAGACAGGCCTTCAGTGCGGGAAGGGGTGGCCTCTGGGCTCCCCTCCCCCAGTCTTCACATCTGGTGGGCTGGCCCCACCACAGCTGGGAGGAGCAGTTGTGGTCTGGGCTAAGCCTCGTGACTAGCCTCTAGGGGTGGGGCCAGCCCTCCCCCAAAGCTGTGGAGAGAAGGCTCCAGGCTGAGGCCTGATTTTGAGGCTTTGGCTAGTCAGTACAAGGTACTCTTGGGGCGTTTTTCACTCTGGGGTATGGTCCCAGCCATCCCTACTGTCTCCCCACACTGGAAGTTGCATTGTTTTCTCAGCCACTGGCTGAGATTTGAGCTGGGGAAGGAGTTTCCAGTGATCTCTGATGGAGAGGAAGTGGTTACTGTAGCTAGTGAGTCCTGCTTGGGTGTTCTAGGTCAGACTCCATCCAGCATTAGAGGCAGGTCAGGCTACGGAAGTGGCAGGCTTCTTTTGATCCTGACAGTCTTGGTGCTGTGTCCCTTGTCTCTCACAGGAAAGTGCTGACATTGGAGAAGGAGGATAAGGAGACCTTTGGCTTTGAGATCCAGGTGGGAGTACTGAGTACAACTGAGTGGACGGACGGGGGGAGGCAGCCTGGGGGAATGGATGAACCCCCCACTGAGGTACTGGGCTAAGCATCCCCTTGTCTGTTACTAGACCTATGGCCTTCACCACCGGGAGGAACAACGCGTGGAGATGGTGACCTTTGTCTGCCGAGTTCACGAATCCAGCCCTGCCCAGCTGGCTGGCCTCACACCTGGTGAGGCTCTGGGAAAGGAATTGTTCTCCCAACCAAGGAGTTAACCCATCTCTCCTGATAAATCCTCCTTCCTCTTCCTACTTTGGGGAAGTCAGAAAGGAGAGTGGATAGAATCTGGGTTTTGGATTCAGGCAAATTTGTTATTTAACTGTGTGGTCTCTGGGAAATTCAGTATGGGCATGAATTGGGGAAAGAACAAAATTCCATTAGATGTGCTTGACATGGGGGATTATAGCCTACCTGCCCTAGTGTTCCCAACCCTGGGATGCCTGTTACTTATTCTAATAGGGAAATGATGCCCCACTCCATAGGATACCTCTGGGATTAGCCAAATCTAGAGTCCCCAGGTCCTAGGAAAGGAAGCTTGAGATTTCATGAATCCAACTCTTGGCACACTCCAATTCCATTACCATTTTCTTCCCCAACCCTTCCTCACCTCACTTACTTTCTACAAGTCCATGGTAGCCAAGTGTAGTATATTACAACTTTGCAAAGTCGTTTTGGACCCACATCCCCTTTCTCTAGGACAAATGAGCATGCAGAGATGGTGACATGCCCTCGTCTACAGTGGTACAGGCTATCAGATGCTAGGCCTACCATGCCTGGGGCCAGGGTTAGTTCCCAATTTAGGACTACTCACCCTGAGCTCACCCTGTCCCACCTCTAGCTTGACAACAGGCTGTGGGCTGGGACAAAAATAACCAACTCTGAGGGCAGCCACTGAGGTGGGTGGGGCTGGGAAGGCTCAGTCTGTGGGGACAGAGTTTCCTGAGGGTGAGATGATGGTATGGGCATATGAGAACCTAGCTAGCCCCATTGAAGTCCCCAATCTCTAGACTAGGGATGGTAGGACAAACTGGCAGTCTCCCCTGCTCTGGGGAGTAGAGGATGGTAGTGGTTTTGTGAATGTTGTATTCTGACTGGGTGGAAAGAGTTGTTGTTAAGAGGTCTCTCCAGAAATGAGAAGAATATTCTCAGGGTTCCAGACTAAAGTAGGGGGTCTGGAAGTCTTCTGTTAAGTTCCGTGGAGCTGACCCCCTCTTTGCCTGCAGGAGACACCATTGCCAGTGTCAACGGTCTGAACGTGGAAGGCATCCGGCATCGTGAGATTGTTGATATCATTAAGGCATCAGGCAATGTTCTCAGGTATGTCCAGGCACCATGGGCCCTACAGGTTCCTGAGCTCAGCCTCTGGAGGTTTCCTCACTCAGTCTGCTCACTCAGTCTCTGGCTCCCCAACCTTCTCAGATTGGAAACTCTGTATGGGACGTCAATTCGGAAGGCGGAACTAGAGGCCCGTCTGCAGTACCTGAAGGTAAGGTAACCCATGTAACATCCAGCCTCCACTGCTGTCTTCCCACATCTCTACCCTTGCAGAACTCATGCTTTTATTTTTTGGGTGGTATCATTTCTGTCTGAGCCTCCTTGTAACCTCAAGCTTCCTTCTGTTTGCTTGCTGGTCCCTCCTCAGTTTATGTTTATCTCCTGCCAGTCTCTGGCTAGCTCCTGACAGTGGGGTGGGGGTGTCTTGCAGCAAACCCTATACGAGAAGTGGGGAGAATATAGATCCCTAATGGTGCAGGAGCAGCGACTGGTGCATGGTGAGTAGACTGGGGGTGTGAAGTGATCCTTGCTTACCTGCAGACACCCCTACCTGAGTTCCCCCTCAGATCTATCTGAGTTACTTCTCCCACCAAAGGTAGTAAGAGTGGCACTAACAATTAAGCAGTTGACTACTAACCAAAAGGTTGGCAGTTCAGAGCTACCCAGTAGCTCCTGAGTAGACAGTCTGGTGATCTGATTCTGCAAGGTCGCAGCCTTTGTTTTTAAAATCCTCTGGGACAGTTCTATTCTGTACTCTTGGGGCCGCTATGAGTCTGATGGCAATTAACAGCAACACTTTAAACAGAACACTACCCTGGGCTTATGCACACACACTTTTAGTTTATTCTCAGAATAGCCCTCTGAAGGTAATTAGTAGATATTACCATTCCATTTTACAAGCGGGAAGACCAAGGCTCTAAGATATTGTTTCAAAACCTTTCCCATCCCTTGGAATTTCAGTTTATAATTCCTGTTTCAGAGGTGGGAAGTGGGGCTCAGAGGTTAGGACTTGCCAAAAGTCGGCCACCCAGAGAGCACTAGGAAGGAACTTCCAGCCACCCCTGCTACCTGATCCCCTGCAGGGGACCCCTATGGCCCCAGGCCTGAGTCCCTTATCCTGCCCTGTGTCTTCTGCCCTGGCAGGCATCGTAGTGAAGGACCCGAGCATCTACGACACACTGGAGTCCGTGCGCTCCTGCCTCTACGGGGCGGGCCTGCTCCCGGGCTCGCTGCCCTTCGGGCCGCTGCTCTCTGCGCCCAGGGGTCCCCGCGGGGGCGCGCCGCCTGCCGGGGGCGACGCCGATGACGCCGTCTATCACACCTGCTTCTTCGGAGCTGCTGAGCCCCCTGCACTGCCGCCCCCGCCACCCCCCGCCCGTGCCCCCGGCGCCGCAGAGACCCGGGTCCCCGGGCTGTCCCCCGAGCCGCGGGCCCTGCTGAGCCGCAGCGCTAGCGTGCGGTGCGCGGGTCCCGGCGGGGGTGGCGGCGGGGGCGCGCCAGGCGCGCTCTGGACTGAGGCCCGCGAGCAGGCTTTGTGCGGCCCGGGCCTGCGCAAAACCAAGTACCGCAGCTTCCGCCGGCGGCTGCTCAAGTTCATCCCCGGACTCAATCGCTCGCTGGAGGAGGAGGAGAGCCAGCTGTAGGGCCGGGGGCGGGCGGGGGGGAGGTATTTATTTATTTATTCATTCGTTCCAACGAGTGCAAAAAGGAAGGGGGCGAGAGGACCTCAGGAGCCCCGAGCAGGGGGAGAAGCGTCCGTGCCAGCCCTGTAGATCTGGTTGGTTCTTGGCTTGTCTCTGCTGAGTGGGGAGCCCAGTCTTCCTCTTCCAAAACACGGGGGGACCTGCTGGTAGGGGGAAACCAGGCAAGGTCAGGGCAAGAGAGGCTCAGGGGCCTAAGATGGAGCGTCCTATCCTACGTCTGGGTCAGTAGTGCCTTGTGGGGTGTCCAGAAAAACTCTAGTGGGGACCTGCCCCACGAAGCCCTCTTCTCAGCTTTACTTGCTCCCCCACCCTTAGCCTTGAAGGGGAGACATGGCCCAATATGGGTCATTTTCTCATCTTCCCACATACAGTTCCAGTTAACCAGTGGACCCCCTGAGGGGGCAAAAGGTGCTGGACCACCTCCCTCCCCAGCCTTGACCCCTAAGGGCTTGACCCCTCTCTGGGGCCTGTAACTAAGTCGGATCAGGCTGGGCAGGGGTCCTGGGTTCTATGTCCCTTGGGGGACAGGAATGGGCGTGACCAGGTGGGGTGGGGGCAGCACACTGTTCCACCGTTTTGCTATTGTTTCTGAACCACAAACTGTATAAAATGGACGCTTTTTTTTTTGCACCCGTGTGAGTGTGGTGACTGCCTGAAGGGGAGGTTTGGGCTCAGGCAAGCTCTGGCTCCACCGTGCATACCCCCCACCCCGAACAGACACACACTCTATATTTTACTGTCTCATTTGCTTGGAGCCTGAAGACAGGAAAATCCGAGAGACTAACGTGTATGGGCCTGAGCTAGAGGCCCCACACCCTCTTCAAAACTTGGGCCTCTTATTTAAGTAAATCTTGAACCTCCTTTCCCAAATACCCACAACAGTGGTGGCCAAGGCTTGTCCAAAGTCCTTAATTATCCCTGTGGACTGCTTGATACTCCCTTGAGGAGCAGAAGCTCTGGGGTCTCCCATGAGGGGCAGAAGCCAGAGTTCCAGGGAACCTGGGCCATTGTCTACCCAACTTGTGACCGGCCCAATCGATGATCATTCCATCACTATCATAAAACTACTAAGTGATTTCCCAATTCTCCTAAAATAAGATTCTAACTCCTCGTGCTAGGGGATCTGACCCTTGCTTACCTCATTTGCATGTCTTCCCCTTTCTTCCTATTGTCACCACTGGCCATATTGCCGTACCTGGAACACGTCACACCTCCTCTCTATGGCCTCTGCACTTGGCTCTTCTCACCAACGGCTCCTTCAGACTTGGTTCTGCTTCCTAAAGTCCTTCTTGTGAAGTGCCATCGAGTGACCCAGTATAGGGTCTCGGAAGGAGCAGTGGTGAGTTTGAACTGCTGACCTTGCAGTTCAAACCAACCTTGAGGTCAAGAGCTTATCCTACAGCACCGTACCAGGATTCCTTCCTAAAGTACACTCAGCCCATTGGGGACACTATCTCAGAGCCCTGCTTTATTCCCATCATAATACTTATCAATAGCTGAAATAGATGTCAGGATTTTGGGTCTGGCCTACTTTCTCCCCATTACAATATAAGGTTCTTGGGGAAGGGCTCCGGGCTCTTCTACCTTACTCAGTTCATTATTTCTTATCTTGTACTAGCACATAAAGGAGCTCTGGTAGTGTAGTGGTTACGAATTAGGCTGCGAATCTTAAGGTCAGCAGTTGGAAACTACCAGCCGCTTCGCAGGAGAAAGATGAGGCTTTGTACTTCCGTCAAGATTAACAGCCTTGGAAACCCTGTACAGAGTCGCTATGGGTCAGAATTGACTCGACGGCACTTAACTAGCACATGAAAACAACAAAACTTGGTGCTGTCAAGTGGATTTCAACTCATGGAGATCCCATGTGTTAAACCATAGGGTTTTCTTGGCTGTAATCTTTATGGAAGCAGATGGCCTGGCCTTTCTAATAAGATGCTGCATTTTTCATAGATGAGCACTTAAATCATTTGTGCCATCCAGGGACCAATCTAGTACATAACAATCCTGCCATCAAGTCAGTTCTGACTCATAGCAACCCTACATGACAAAGTAGAACTCCTTTGGGTAAATCTTTCTCTCACAGAGCAGCTGATGGATTTGAACTGATGACTTGTGGCTAGCAGTCCAGTGCTTATCCTTCAGCACCACCAGGGTACCCTCTAGCACATAAAAACCACAACCAAACTCACTGCCACCTAGTCAATTCCGACTCATAGTGACCCTTTGTAGGGTAGCCAAGGCTGTAAATCTTTCCAGAAGCCTAAAGTCTCCTCTTTCTCTCATGGGGTAGCTGGTAGATTTGAGTTGTTGGCTTTGGGTGTAACTCACTAGGCCACCAGGGGTCCTTTGTTGCACATACACTCTCCCTCACTTTACAGAAGGTGGTGGCCAGCTCTTGGAAAAGTTCTAAGCACATGCTGTATTTATTGAGCACCTACACGTGCTTCTGTGAAGCCAGGGAGAGTCACCTGTAGGGGTCACACAGCACTGCTCCAGCCTTTATCCCTGGCAGTGACCAGTACACAAGTGGGCTTCACGAAGTTCATAGAAAATGCCACAATCTTTTCGTTCCCTTTCCTTCGGAAGGCCCCTCACACTGGCCACCTGACATCATCTCCCTCCTGCACGACCACATTGGCCTCCTCTGTTACCCATCAACCATCTCTTCTCCACATAGCAGTCAGGGCCATCTTTTCAAAAAGGAAATCAGATCACCATCCTCCTCTACTTACCCTTATGACTTCCACTGAAATAAAAGTATAAAATCCAAACTCTTTACCATCACCAATCCATAACAAATTGTCCCTCCAGGCAAGCAAACAAATTACAGATGGTACCCCTTCTGGGATGACAGCAGCTACACGGGCCCAACAATTTAGCAACCAAGAGTCTTTGTGTAACACACAACCGCTGCAACTATATGCCAGCATACTGCATGAAACCCTCCACGGTCTGGACCCAGCCTCTCTCTTCATTCTTGCGTTATATTTTCTTCCATTTCACTTTTTATGGTGCTGCAGGGTAAGTAACTCTTACATTTAAACCATAGAAAGCTGTTGTTGTTGTTGTTAAATGCTGTTGAGTAATTTCTCACTCATAATGACCCTGTATGGGGTTTCCAAGGAATCACTGGCGGGTTTAAACCACTAACCTTCTGGTCAGCTGCTGATGAACAGCTCTTTCTATGGCTTAAATGTAAAAAGTGAAATGGAAGAAGCGAAGATGGTGAAACTTCATCTCACTACTTTGGACATGGTATCAGAAGGGACCAGTCCCTGTAAAAGACATCATGCTTGGTAAAAAATCGACAAAAAAAGAGGAAGATCCTCAGCAAGATGGATTGACAAGTGGCTGCAACAATGAGCTCAAAGCATAACAATTGTGAGGCTGGCTCAAGACTGAGCAGTGTTTCCTTCTGTTGTACATGGGGTTGCTATGAGTCAGAACCAGAACCGAGTTGATGGGAACTTAGAGTAACAATAACATTCTATCCCTGGAGTCTTGTTTTTCACTAATGCCTTCAATGTAGTTTGGACTTCTTCCTTCAATACCATTGGTTCTTGATCATATGATCTTCCTGAAATGGATGAATGCCAGCCAGTTCTTTTTGGTACAGTGACTTTATGGATTTCTTCAATCTTTTGATGCTCCTTATGTCATTCAGTAATTTCCCTGTGGAATCTTTCAATATTGTAACTCAAGGCTTGAATTTTTTCTTTTTTTTTCAGTTCTTTCAGCTTGAGAAATGCCAAGCGTGTACTTAACTTATAGTTTTCTAACTCCAGTTCTATGCACCGTTCATTGAGCAGACATTTGAAATCTTCTGTTCAGCTCTTTACTTCATTTCTTCCTTTTGCTTTAGCTATTTCAAATTCAAGAGCTTTTTTTTTTTTTGGAGTCTCTTCTGACATCCATTTTAGTCTTTTCTTTCTTTCTTGTCTTCTTAATGACCTTTGGTTTTCATCATGTATGATGTCTTTGATGTCAACCCACAACTTGTCTGGTGTTCAGTTACTAGTGTGTAATGTGTCAAATCTGTTTTGAGATGGTAGGTTATCAAGAACTGATACTATTGAAAGAAGATGTCCAAGCTGTAGTGAAGGTACCTCAAAACTAGGCCCCAGGAGTTGATGGCATATTAATGGAAACATTTCAACAAATGGAGGCAGCATTGGAACTGCTCACTGGTCTAAACCAAGAAATTTGGAAGACAGTTAACTGGCCAATTGACTGGAAGAGATCCATATTTGTGCCCATTCCAAAGAAAGTGGAGCTAACAGAATCAGAAATTATTGAACAATATCACTAATATTACAAGTAAGTAAAGTTTTGCTGAAGATAACTAAAAAATGGTTGAAAGAGTACATTGACAGGGAGCTGCCAGAAATTCAAGCCAGATTTAGAAGAGGACTAAAAGGAGGGATATCACTGTTGATATCAGATGGATCTTGGCTGAAAGCAGAGTATACCAGAAAGATGTTTACCGGTGTTTCATTGATTATGCAAAGACATTCAACTGTGTAGGTCATAACAAATTATGGATAACATTGCAAAGAGTGGGAAATCCAGAACACTTAGTTGTGTTCATGTAGAACCTGTAAATAGACCTTTGAACAGAACAAGGGGATACTGAATGATTTAAAATCAGGAAAGTTGTGTGTGTTAGAGTTTGCCTCTTGTCACTATACTTATTTAACCTGTATACTGAGTGAATACTCTGAGAAGCTGGACCATATGAATAATGCAGCATCAGGATTGGAGGAAGACTCATTAACAACATGTGATAAGAACATGATACAACCTTGCTTGCTGAAAGTGAAAAGGACTTGAAGCACTTACTGATGAAGATTGAAGACTATAGCCTTCAATATGGATTACCCCTCAACATCATTAACAAAGAACTCCTCACTTGTGGTTAACGAAGAAAAGATTGAGGTTGT